TGAGCGGGGAAACCCAGCCAGGCCTGTCCATCTAGGTTCCTCATGGCCTCTGTGAGCAGCATTCCTTCCTTCTGGGTGTGGGGCAGGACTCTTTCTGGAATTGGGGTCTTATGACCTACAGTCAAACAAGATAGGTCAGACAATTTCTTTATGACCAGTTTTTGCATAGAAAGGTGGATGAAGTTAAAGTAATATTTCTAGGTTTTATGACTGGCTTTGGGGAAAAGGAGTTCTGGTTTCTATGACCTACCTTGGGGAAGGGGGATTCTAGTTTCTATGGTTAGCCTCAGGGGAGAATGGGCCTGAGAGACAGGAGGGTAGGAGAAGGTCAGTGAAAAACTTTTGCTTCTGAGGCCATCATTTTGGGGTGTTGTTTCTTTATTCTTCATTCAACAGATTTCTAAATGAATTGTAGAATTTTATAGAATTTAAATTGTTATTTAAAATTGCTGTTTGTGAATATTGTGAATGTGCACTAGAAATGAATAGGTAAGAAAGCTTATAGTAGTTTAAATCATTTGTAGAACCAGCAGATTTTGTGATGTCATAATTAAATTATAGGCTATTAAAATAGTTTTACATAAAGGCATAGCCTTTGAATAGCCAAAAATCTTAATTGGCAATTCAGAATCAGTAGTCGATAAGCCCTTCATCAGTGCCCAGGCTTAATAAATATGTAAATGGCAGAATATTTTTCAAGGGGATGCTATCTTTTATTGATAAATTGGATCCCATGTTACAAAAAAAGGAAGAAAAAATATGAACATTATTGAACATCTCTTATGTTAGACACTATGCCAGGTACTTTACTGTTTTAGCCACCCTTCTTCCTACCAATCTATGCATGGATTGCCTGTAAATCTAATAGAGACAATAAAGCATGTGTACTTCCTAAAACAAGGAATTTGTCACCACCTGAGGCCACCAATCCCATTTTTAGGAGATTCCAATTGTTACAGTTCCCTTTTTTCATGTTGAACCCAAATCTCTCAACCTATGGTTTGCATTCATGCTGTTGTTTTTGTCTTCTGAGAATGACAGAAAAAGCCTCTTTTACCTTGTAGCCCTTCAAATATCTGAAGCCAGACTGACCCTATATTTCATTTCTTCTTTGAGCTATTCTCATTAGACGTGTTTCATAACCCATAACCAGTCTAATTGCTGTACTGTGATCCCAAGTAAGCTATTCTGCTAGTCACATCACACTATGAAATCTCACTGAGCTTGAGGTTTCTCATAGTTGTTGTGCCTTTTTGCAGGTTGTTTTGGGAGTTCAAGAATAGAACTGAGCATTTAATTTATATTCCGATCCATCCTATTGATAGACCTTGTTGAAATTCAACATTGTAGCAGTCCCTTCTAGCTTTAGGTTTGGTGAGAGAGCCTCTATTTTTCTTACTTACTTTGTTATATAAATATTAACAAGACCAGAGCTGAGGTTAGAAGTTAGTGCTAGAAACTTTTCTCTAGGTCAATGCATTAATTAATGCCTGTTGTTTCACATGAGTGTAATATTGGGAAATGCTTCATATTTTAGTCCTCTTCTAGATGGTCATAATGCACATAGTGCAATAGTAAAGGCTCCAAATGTCTTACAGTAAATACATGTATTTAGCTTTGTTTAACCATAGTCTAAACTTACTTGACAGAAGAATCTTCTTTTTTTTTGTAACACCAAAAAGATAAAAATGAAAATACCCCCCACTCCAAAATCCCACACTATAGTATTTCCTTATCTTGTCCAAAATGGTGTTTTGAGAAATTTCGTTAATTTTCTTTCTGCTGTCCAGATACTATGTTTTCTTTGATCTACCGGTCAATTCAGTCATGAAAAGATAACACATAATTTAACTTGTCTTATTCTTGTTGAACCCCTATTGGCCTCCTCCCGATCACTATTCTTTTTTTGAGATGAAGTCTCACGTTGTCACCTAGGCTGGAGTGCAGTGGTGCAATCTCAGCTCACTGCAATCTCTGTCTCCCTAGTTCAAGTGATTCTCCTGCCTCAGCCTCCTGAGTAGCTGAGATGACAGGCTTGTGCCACTATACCTGGCTAATTTTTGTATTTTTACTATGCCTGGCTAATTTTTGCAGTTTTATTAGAGATGGAGTCTCACCATGCTGGCTAGTCTGGTCTTGAACTCCTGACCTCAAATGACCCACCCATCTCGGCTTCCTGAAGTGCTGGGGTTACAGGCATGAGCCCCCGCGCCTGGCCCTGATCACTATTTTTATTGTTAGAAGATCACAAATGTGGAATTTATCTTCTCTTTTTATTAGAATTTGGATAAGGTTTGCTTAATTATGTGTATGTCATTTTTGCTCTGAAGATCATCCTCCTTGATAGAGAAGAGAGAGAGAAAACAGACATGGGAACTTTGTACTTTACTGTGCCATTAATATAACATTATCAGCTCTCATTGGTGGTTTTCTTTTTCTTTGGCCTTTACAGCACCAAATGAGAATTCAAAGCCTATTTTATTCTGTTTTGTCTTTTTAAAAGCAGTAAAAAAAAATTATTTTTGCATGTTTTACCTCATTACTGTACTTTTTTTTGTTTTCCTGACATGATTATTTAAATTTTCTGTTAAGGAATTTAAAAGGCATACGCATTTCTTATCAGGATGTAACTCTTCTAAAAACTTTTCTGTTTCATCACAAGGAAAGGGAGAGAGATGAAATGTTTTATCATGCCCTGGAGAGTGCGAGTTGTGTAAAATTCTCTCAGTCTAGGGTACTAGGGTATTTGACAGATTCCTAGAGAAATTGCTGGCAGTGTTCTCCTGCCTTAAAACCACTATGTTTTGGAGTATTTTAGGCCGTGTTTTCTTATTTTTGAAACTGGATCCTACTTATTTTAATTAGAATAGATCAGTTTGAACTGTTTTTATCTTGTGTACCAATTAGTTGATTCAGTTCATTAATTAGGCCTACATTTAATTATAAATAAAATTTTTTTGAGGGAACAGTGCTGAAGTTTTTAATGCTGATGATATATATGAAAGGGAAAACATGGAAATATTTAGCAGAACACTGAGTACCATTGCAACATTTGTTAATAAGCAGCAGAAAAACATTCACCCACTGGTAGATGTTTGCTTTCTCTACAGGAACAAAAATTGAACACTTTGCAAAAATTGGATGGAAAAATCATAAACATTCAGTTAATAACCCGTAAGTATTTCAGAGACATGAAATAATGAAAATCTGGGTTATCGTACTGTGTAATATGCAACTTTATGCTTGAAAAGCAAATGCCAAGATCTCAAATATATTAACTAGAATGTTTTATTTTTTTCTTACAAAAGGCTTATACCCAAGTAAACTTTTGACAATTTTTCCGTTTCAGTTTTTGGCCACTTTATATTTAGAATATTATTTAAGCTAATGATTCTTTTTTTGTTTGTTTGTTTTTGAGACAGAATCTCTCTGTGTCACCCAGGCTGGAGTACAGTGACGTGTTCTTGGCTCACTGCGACCTCCACCTCCCTTGTAGCTGGGACTACAGGAACCACCATGCCCGGCTATTTTTTTTTTTTTTTTTTAAAGACTCAGTCTCATTCTGTCACCCAGGTTGGAATGCAGTGGCGTGATCTCAGCTCACTGCGACCTCCGCCCTCTGGGTTCAAGCGATTCTCCTGCCTCAGCCTCCCGAGTAGCTGGAATTACAGGCACCTGTCACAGCACCCGGCTAATTTTTGTATTTTTAGCAGAGACAGGGTTTCACCATCTTGGCCAGGCTGGTCTTGAACTTTTGACCTTGTGGTCCACCTGCCTCTGCCTCCCAAAGTGCTGGGATTACAGGCGTGAGTCACCGCACCCAGCCTGTATTTTTAGTTGAGATGGGGTGTTGCCATGTTGGTCAGGCTGGTCTCAAACTCCTGACCTCAGGTGATCTGCCCGCCTTGGCCTCCCAAAGTGCTGGGGTTACAGGTGTGAGCCACCACGCTTGGCTATTTTGTACATTTATTTAAAAGCTCCATTAGCCATAATTAATGTACTTGTATAATGTTATCACCTCAAAAGTTGGCTGAATTGTAGGTCATTTGATTTTGCTTTTAAGGAACTAGTATTCTATAATTTGCCAGGAAACATAAATACGGTATTCTGTTTTAATCCCCAACTGGTCTAACACCAACTGGGTATATTGCAACTCAATTCCACCAGGAAGCATCTGGGAGTTAATGCAAACTCCATGAATTAAGGACCCAGTCCTCCACAAGACTGCTCATATGTCAGACATTAGCTGCAAGTGGGTTGCCCATGCCACTAATACTTTTGACCAACTGACCACAAATCTAGGGGTTCCCATGACTCCCTCAGGTTCAATAATTCACTAGAACAACTTACAGAACTCAGGCAAGTACTTAAACTTACAGGTTTACTCTAAAGGATATAAATCAGAAACAGCCAAATGAAGAGGCACATAGAGCGAGGTCTCGGAGGATCCCAAGCAAAGCTTTCTTGCCTTTTGCCAATGGAGTCAGGGCATGTCATCCTCCGGATCCATCAAGATGTTCACCAATCAGGAAGCCCCGCTGAACACCATGTCCAGATTTTTTACTGGGGCTTCATTATATTGGCGTGCTAGATTAAATCACTGGCCACGTGACTGAACTCAATCTCCAGCCTTCTCTTCTTCTCAGAGGTTGAGCTGGCTCAAAAGTCTCAACTCTGTAGTCACGTGGTTGGTCTTTTGATGGTCAGTCTTCCATTTTCAAGATAACAAGGCCCACTATAAGGGTCCTCATTAGCATAACACCGACTTCTATCATTCAGGAAATTCCAACGGCTCTGGAAGCTCCAAGCCAGGAACGCAGGACAAAGACTAAATGTTTAAAAATCAAACATACTGTTTTTTAGAGTTAGGATTTTTTAAAAGGTCAATTCAGATGACATTTATAGCTATTCATAAAAATCTATCTTTTGGTTGTAAAAAGAACACTTACATATTATTCTGTTTCTGACTCTGCAACAAAAATTACAGTTGCTATCTCACATTCTGTAACTAATATTTATTTTGTATTTAGGTATTCCCAGTTCCAAGATGAATACAGTTTAGATGAAGTGATGGCATCTAAAAAAGTTTTTGATTTTTTGACTATCTTACAATGTTGGTAAGAAAAATATATTTTAACATTTAATGAGAGAAGTAACTGCTTCCCTTCCTGCCACCCCCCTGTGGTTAAACCTTAGGCTGTGTATCTGGGCAGAGCTTTCACAGAACTCCTCCCAGTGCCGTCTCCATCCCATGTCCCCACTCTGGGTCACTTCACTAGAGTACCCTTACTTCCTACTCCTGCCTGGAGACAGACTGCCTCTTCTCTTGGAAAATGATGTGTTTTACTTCTTCTTGCATGACTTCTACCTACTTTGGTGATTTCAATTGTATTTATTCACTAAACTGTGGCTTAGGGGGCCAGTGGAGTCCAAAGCATTTTGTTTTCCCTGCTATGTACTTCTACTACAGGAAATACTACTCTATAATAGTAGCTATGAGTAAAAGTAAAACAAGGAAAAATTCATAGCTCTAATGACGGTAATAGTTGTTTCTTGCAAAGTGCTTGACAGTATCTGTCTCCTAGACAATTGAGTGAGTACTGCCTAGCTCCTGCCTGTGTCCCAGTTAACACCTGGCTGTGCCCTGTAGATACAGGCTGGGATGGAAAGAAAGAAGTTGGGTCAGCTTTTATTTGTTGTGATATGAAGGTCTGCCCATTTAGAAAATCTAACTGAAGTCACAGAGGGCTTCTTGTGTTTGCTACCTTCCATCCCAATTTGCTGTAAGAGAAAGATCTATTTAAGATATCGAGAGTCTTAACTAAAGCAGATGGTTTAGTATCCTCAATCTATCTTTTCCCAGTTTCCAAAAGGATTTCAGGACTGAGTTATTTGGAGATAGTAAAGTTGGATCTGGGGCAGTCTGTACTAGGATAGGAATAACCTTTTGGACTCACTCCTCAGAAGATGCCTTATGCATCTCCAGAGGCAAATTGGTGATTCTTTGCAATAAGAACTTTTTGGGGCAGGGCACGGTAGCTCATGCCTGTAATCCCAGCACATTGGAAGGCCAAGGCGAGCAGATCACCTAAGGTTGAGAGTTCAAGACCAACCTGACCAACATGGAGAAACCCTGTCTCTACTGAAAATACAAAATTAGCTGGGCATGGTGACGCATGCCTGCAATCTCAGCTACTCAGCAGGCTGAGGCAGAAGAATCACTTGAACCCGGGAGGAGGTGGTTGCAGTTTCAGTGAGCCAAGATCACATCATTGCACTCCAGCCTAGGCAACAAGAGCGAAACTCCATCTCAAAAAAAAAAAAAAAAAAAAAAAAAAATAGAACTTTTTGGGACTCTTAGATACCAAGTAGTGATTGACAACATTTAAGTTCTTGATAGAGGTTCAGTCCTTAGGTGGGCAGCATGAGATTTACAACTGTAGATATCACAAAGAAGACAATCCACTGACCAGCAAGTATATTTGGCCTTTCTTTTCACATAGAAGGAACTCCTAGAACTGTTTTTACTTCCTCTTAGTCCCACTTCAGATGGTGCTGCAGCAGCAATTTTGGCCAGTGAAGCATTTGTACAGAAGTATGGCCTGCAATCCAAAGCTGTGGAAATTTTGGCACAAGAAATGATGACTGATTTGCCAAGCTCGTTTGAAGAAAAGAGCGTTATTAAAATGGTATGTCTGAGATTCTGTTTATTTGTTATTTTTATTTTTTTTTATTTTTAAGATAGAGTCTCATGCTTCTTGTGATAGAGCCATGCATTATTATATAATAACTTTTAATTTACTAGACATGCTATTTATCATTATTTTAAGTTGACTATGCCTAGAACTCCAATGTTACAGAGTTAAGAGAAAAAACAGATTATTTTGTTTTGTTGTCCCTTTTCTTTTCTTTTCTCTTCTCTTCTCTTCTTTTCTTTTTTCTTTTCTTTTCTTTTTTTAGACAGGGTCTTACTCTGTCACTCAGGCTGCAGTGCAGTAGTGCGATCTCAGCTTACTGTAATTTCCACATCCCAGGCTCAATCACTCCTCCCACTTCAGCCTCCCAAGTAGCTGGGACTACAGGCACATGCCACCACTGCCAGCTAATGTTCATATTTTTTGTAGAGACACGGTTTTGCCATGTTTCCCAGGCTGGTCTTAAACTCCTGGCTCAAGTGATCACCTGCCTCAGCCTTCCAAAGTGCTGGGATTATAAGCGTGAATCACCACATATGGCCACAAAGATGATTTTAATGAACTTTCTTGACCCTCACCACTTTAAAAATTCTGATTAAAGATTGAGTACAAAATGGAAAAAGTAAAAAAGATGAAAATTCAGACCTAGAGTTAGTTGAATATTTGAAGACATACACACAATACACAAAATTGCATGCTAAATTATAGTTTACAGAATGATTTTACAACAACACTGTGAATTGGCAAATGTTTTTGTAACTGCCCAAGATCACAGTTAGATTGTGGCAGAGGTAGAATTTATACTTAGGTTTCCTGGTTATAGTACGTTTTTCATTACACCACAGTTTTATTTCTTTTTCTTTTTGAGACAGGATCTTGCTTTGTTGCCCAGGCTGGAGTGTGGTGATGCGATCATAGCTCACTGCAACCTCTGCCTCCTAGGCTCAAGCAGTCCTCCCACTTCAGCCTCTAGAGTAAGTGGGACTACAGGCACGTGCCACCACACCTGGCTAAATTTTTGTATTATTATTATTATTTTTTTTGTAAAGACAGTGTTTTGCCATGTTACCCAGCCTGGTCTTCAACTCCTGTACTCAAGTGATCCACCTGCCTTGGCCTTCGAAAGTGCCAAAGTGCTGGGATTACACGTATGAGCCACCATGCCTGGCCTCACAGTTTTATTCCTTGAAGAAAAGTTATTTTATCATTTGAGGCCAAAGACATATTAGGAGCATGGACTTTGGAAAAATGGTTTGAATCCTAGATGATTTTCTAAGGAAGATTGTGTCAATTTATATAGAAATTCTCCCATATTTTTCAGTGTATCTGACTCATAATGATCTGTTAATAAATGTCTGCAACTTGTTTATCACAACTATACATTGTAGTTTGACAGAGGTTTTGTAACTTAGCACAAGATATGCTCTGAGGAATTCTAGGTCCTTTTTATATATTTTATTTAAAAATTCTGTCATTTTTTAGTACAAAATTGAATATGTACATACTTCTCCTAGATGTTATTTTATTTGGACTTTCTGTGTAATATAGAATCAATTGACCGACCCTCCTTCCCTCCCTCCCTCCCTCCCTCCCTTCCTCCCTTTCTTTCCTTTTCCCTTTCCTCTCTTTCTTTTCTTCTTCTTCTTTTTTTTTTTTTGAGACAGAATCTTGCTCTTTCATCCAGGCTGGAATTGAGTGGGGTGATCCTGGTTCACTGCAGCCTTGACCTCCTGGGCTCAAACGATCCTCCCAGCTTAGCTTCCCGAGTATCTGGGACCACAGGCACATACTACCACGCCGGGCTAATTTTTAAATTATTTGTAAAGACAGGATCTTCCAGTGTTGCCCAGGCTGGTCTCAAACTCCTGGGCTCACGCAATCCTCCTGCCTCAGCTTCCCAAAGTGCTTGGATTATAGGCATGAGCCACTGCACCTGGCCAAGATTTCAATATATATGGTCAATTATCAGTTGTTAAGGTTATGCATCTATTAATCTCTTAAACTACTTGTCTAAAAGGCCTAGTTTTGGTGCCCTTCATTTATATATGGTTTTGGTTTTAGGTTGGCTTTGATATGAGTAAAGAAGCTGCAAGAAAATGCTATGAGAAATCTGGCCTGACACCAAATGATATTGACGTAATAGAACTTCACGATTGCTTTTCTACCAACGAACTCCTTACTTATGAAGCATTGGGACTCTGTCCAGAAGGTAACATCTTTGAATAGGGCAGATTAATTTGGTAAATTTCATTGAGAAAACTTCATTTGGACCATTAGATAAAAGAATTCACTATTCGCTTTTCCCTTCACATTGGCTCTGCCACACTGTGGGAAGTGAATGTAAGGTGTTTTGGTAGTGGACTTTTTAGAACTTGTGGTATTAGGCAGTACCAACACTAAGATGATGGAGTATCCAAATAATTTGTATTCTGATTATATTATTTGTCTAGAAGGCTCTTTTATCTGATCAAAATAGCTACTCCATCTTTCTTATGCTTATTCTTTGCATGAGCTTTTATTCATTTGCTTTCAACCGTTTATGTTAATTTATTTAAAGTGTATCTCTTATAGGCAGCATGTAAGCAATAATTTTTTTTGTTTTTTCATTTTTCTGAGACAGACTCTCTCTCTGTAGCCCAGACTGGAGTGCAGTGGTGCAATCTCCGCTCACTGCAACCTCCACCTCCTGGGTTCAAGTGATTCTTCTGCCTCAGCCTCTTGTGTAGCTTGGATTACAGGCACCCACCACCACGCCCGGCTAATTTTTGTATTTTTAGTAGAAACAGGGTTTCACCATGTTAGCCAGACTGGTCTCAAACTCCTGACCTCAGGCGATTCACTCACCTAGGCCTCCCAAAGTGCTAGGATTATAGGCGTGAGTCACCACGCCCAGCCACGATAATACATTTTTTTAAATCTACTTTGTTGAATTTTGCCTTTTAACTGGAGTGTTGAAACCTCTGCTAATAATGATAGCCACTAGCTATACTTTAGTCTTTGAAATGTAGCTAGTCCAAATTGACGTGTGCTGTAAGTGTGAAGTACACATGGGGTTTGGGAGACTTAATATTGAAAAATATAATGTAAAGTATTTCATTATTTTTTTATTTTTATTTTTTTTTGAGACAGAGTCTCGCTCTGTTGCCCAGGCTGGAGTGCAATGGTGTGATCTCGGCTCATTGCAACTTCTGCCTCCTGGGTTCAAGTGATTCTTGTGCCTCAGCCTCCTGAGTAGCTGAGATTACAGGTGCACATGCCACCATGCCCAGCTAATTTTTGTAATTTTGGTAGAGACAGGGTTTCACCATGTTGCCCAGGCTGTTCTCAAACTCCTGGCCTCAAGCAATCCACCCACCTCAGCCTCCCAAAGTGCTGGGGTTACAGGCATGAGCCACCTGGCCCACTGATAATTTTTTTATGTTGATTGCATGTTGAATGAAAATACTTTATATATATATAAAATGTATAAATTAAATAAAATATATACTAGAAAATTTAAAAGTATTGTGTGGGCATTATATTTCTGTTAGACAATAGTGATTTAGATCATTAATGTAATTTTTGATATGGTAGGATTTAGGTTAGTCATTTAATTATCTGTTTTCTATTTGACCCTATAATTTTTGTTCCCCTGTGCCCCTCCTCTTGACTGCTTTTGCATTATTTAAATATTTTTAGTATGCCATTTCAACTTATTGTTTTTTTCACCATATCTCTTTGTTTTTTCTTCTTTGTTTATCCCAGTGGTTGCTATAGAGCATGGTTTATCAACCTTGGCACTGTTGACATTTGAGCTCTATCATTCTTGTGATACAGCTTGTGTATGGTAGGATATTCAGCAATATCCCCACCTCTTATCTACTAAATGCCAGTAGCACCACCCCCCACAGTTGTAACAACCATAAAATGTCTCCAAATATTGTCAGATGTCTTCTAGGGGGTAAATCTCTCCCAGTTGGCAGGGCACGGTGGCTCACGCCTGTAATCCCAGCACTTCGGGAGGCCAAGGCAGGTGGATCACGAGGTCCAGAGATTGAGACCATCCTGGCTAACATGGTGAAAGCCTGTCTCTACTAAATATGCAAAAAATTAGCCTGAATTCTCTTAGTTTTCCTTCAACTGAAAATGTCTTTATAATATTATATATTGGGATTTTCAATTTTTTTCTCTTGCTTCTTCTGGGCTTCCAATGATGCATATATTAAACTTTTGGATATTGTCCCATAGGTCTCTGAAACTGTTCACTTTGAATCCCTTTTCTCTCTGTTCTTCACATTTGATAATTTGTGTTGATATATCTTTAAATTCACTGACTCCTCCTTCATCTTCTTTCTACTCATAAACCATTCTAGTGAGTTTTCTATTTCAAATATGGTATTTTCAGTTCTAAAATTTCCATTTGGTTCATTTTATAGTTTCTGTTTCTCTGCTGAGAGCCTGTATCTTTTTTTTCATTTCTAGTGGGCTTTCTTTACCTTGCAGTTCTAACGGCTGTTTTAAAGTCTTTAATAATTCCATAATCTGGGCTTTCTTAGGTTTTGCATCATTGATTGTCTTTTACCTTGAGAGTATTGGTTACATTTTCTGATTCTTTGTGTAGCAAATAATTTTGGATTGTATCCTGGACAGGGTGAATGTCCCCTTATACAGATCCTTTGGAGAATGTTGGTTTTTGTTTTAACAAGCATTTAAGCCAGTATGTTCTGACAATAAGTTCTGTCTTGCCTTCGGAGGGTGGTGGTTAAAGTCTTTGCTCAGCTCTCTAAATGTATGCCTACGTCAGAGTGAGCCTGAGATTTGTACAGGTCTGTACACAGAATTAGGGGATCCTCTTCTCTGGTTCACTCCACTGTGGACTTCTTCTCTTACTCTCCAGCCTGCGGAGGTTTCTTTTCCTAGTTCCTTTGGTTAGGAAGATGGGGTTTCTGTTAGAATTTTAGCTACCTTTGCTGCTTCTGCTGCCATGCTGTTCCAGGGCTGTGCTCAACCTTGGGGCAAAGCTGTTGAGAGAGAGAGCCTAAAAAGAAAAAATACAACCAGGACCTCACCCTTATGCAGTGGCTTCTCCAAGTTTTGACTTGCTCTATAATCCCCCTGCTTTTATTTGCTTTTCAGAGTCCTCAGGTAGTTTTTAAAAAATTTTTTATTTTTATATCCAGTGTTTTCAGTTGTAATCAATGCAAGAGATGAACTGTAGTGAACATATTCTGCCTAATATGGAACTTAATCTCAAAGTTAAATGTTTTATATAGATACAGATATAAAATGATTGCTTACTTACTTTTTTTTTTCTTTGAGACGGAGTTTCTCTCTTGTTGTCCAGGCTGGAGTGCAATGGGGCGATCTTGGCTCACCACAACCTCCACCACCTAGGTTCAAGTGATTCTCCTGCCTCAGCCTCCCGAGTAGCTGGGATTGCAGGCATGCGCCACCATGCCCAGCTAATTTTGTATTTTTAGTAGAGACGGGGTTTCACCATGCTGGCCAGGTTGGTCTCAAACTCCTGAATGCAGGTGATCTGCCTGCCTTGGCCTCCCAAAGTGCCAGGATTGTAGGTGTGAATCACCACCCCCGGCTTTTTTTTTTTTTCCGAGACAGAGTTTTGCTGTTGCTGCCCAGGCTGGAGTACAATGGTGAGATTTCAGCTAACTGCAACCTCCCCCTCCCAGGTTCAGGTAATTCTCTTGCCTCAGCCTCCCGAGTAGCTGGGATTATAGGGGTGCGTCACCACACCTGGCTAATTCTTGCATTTTTTTTTTTTTTTTTTAGTAGAGATGGTTTCACCATGTTGGTCAGGCTGGTCTCGAACTCCTGACCTCAGGTGATCCACCCACCCCAGCCTCCCAAAGTGCTGGGATTACAAGTGTGAGCCACTACGCCCGGCCAAAATGATTACTTTCAAACTTATACTCCTTGCTTGAACTGCTCCTCCAACCTCTAGACTCAAGAATCCAGCTGCCTGCTTTTTAGGGGTTTCTTTGGATATCTCATAAGCATCTCAAACCTAAGTCCAAAATTGAGCGATGGATATTTTTCAATCTTTCTCCTCCCTCAGTCTTCCCCATCCTTCTGCTGCTTAAACTGGAAGCCATCAGGCTTGAATTCTTTTCTCTCTCTCACAGTCATCATTAAGTCTGTCTCTAAGTCCCATTGGCTATGGACTCTACCTTCATATACATCCAGAATATGACCACATCTCACCACTTTTGTCACTGCCAGCCTAGTGCAGAACAGCATCGTTTCTCATTTATATTATTGTTAGAGTCTTATAACTGGTTCCCTGCTCCTGCCTTGTCTCTCTAGACTGATGCTAGAATGTGCAGTAAATCAGTTCATTCATTCATTCAAAACCCAGTAGTTTCTCAACTCACTCAGACGAACAAGCCAAATGTGATCTGTCCTCCTTACTCCCCACTCCCATCTCTGACTTCCTCTGCTTTTCTCTGAATCGTCTACTCTGCTGCAGCCACATTGGCTTCCTTCTTCAAGCACTGGAAGCTCGCTCCTGTTTCAGGGCCTTTGTTCCAACTATACATGATTTGCTTCCTCACTCCCTTCAGGTCTTTGACTAATATCCTTCTCAGTGGAAGCCTTCTCCAATCACTTTGTCTGAAATATAAATCACTCACCTCCATCTTCCTTGTCTCAATGCGTCCTATGCCCTTTTCTTGCTTTCTTTTTTCCCTTGGCATTTATCACCACTTTACATATTTCTTTACTTATTTTACCTATTGTCTGTCTTTTCCTCACCCCTCTCCCCACAATAACTTAAACTCCATGATAGTAAGGATTTTCATTTGGTTCGCTGTTGTATCCTTAAGTTCCTAGTTTAGTTTTTGGCACAGAACAGGTATAATAATTGTTTTCCAAAAGCGTATGCATTTGTTTTCCTATCTATGCTAGATGAGAGTGTTCATTTACAGTACTTTAGTCTCTGAATATTTTTAGTTGATAAGTTCAAGATAACTTCCCTTTGGAATCTTTTAATACTTTACAAGATTGTATACATTATAGGAAAAGTGTAGTGAATTATTCATTTTTAGGGGTTAGCTTGTGTTTAGTTTGCTATTACTTGCTATAGAAACAATATTTATCAGTTTGTAAGTAGCAATAGTAGATAGATTCATCTCTGATGACTACAACCTCAGAGCAATTTCTAAGATAGAAACATACCAAAAAATAAAAGAGAGAATGCCTTAACCAATGGTTTTATCTATAACCTAGATTTAAAGCCAAATTAGAAGTGTCAGTCATCTAAAATCCTGTGATTAGTGTATTTCATTTTACCAACAGAGGAACTTTTGTTTTTGAAGGCAATATAATATATTAGCTGAGAACACAGGCTGTGGAGCCAGGGTGCCTGAGTATTAATCCTGGATCTCTTGCTGTTGCCTTGGCTGATTTCTTAATATCTCTGTCTGTTTTCTCATCTCAGAAATGAGAATGATAGCACCTACTTCATAGGATTGAATATTAAATTATATAAATATGGTCATCTCTCAGTATCTGTGGGGGGTTGTTTCTAAGACCTCCCACAGATACCAAAATCCATGGAAGTTGCTTATATAAAATGGCATAATTTTTGCATATAACCTATGCACATCCTCCCGTATACTTTAAATAATGTCTAGATTACTTATAATAACTACACATCACTTCATTCACATGGATTCAATGTAGTACTCAGCACATACAAATTGAAGTTTTGCTTTTTGTAATTTTTTTCTTCTGAATATATATATATGTATTTTTGAGACAGAGTTTTGCTCTTGTCACCCAGGCTGGAGTGCAATGGTACGACCTTGACTCACTGCAACCTCTGCCTCCCAGGTTCAAGCGATTCTCCTGCCTCAGCCTCCTGAGTAGTTGGGATTACAGGGGTGCACCACTATGCCTGGCTAATTTTTGTATTTTTAGTAGAGATGGGGTTTCACCATGTTGGCCAGGCTGGTCTCGAACTCCTGACCTCAGGTGATCTACCTGCCTCGGTCTCCCAAAGTGCTGGGATTACAGGCATCAACCATGGTGCCCGGCCTCTTCTGAATATTTTTGATCTGTGGATGGTTGAATCCATGATGTGGAACTTGTGGATGCTGACTGTGTATACAGACAATAATTAGAACAAGACCTGACCCAGAGTGAGTGCTCAAAAGCTATTCGCTACCTTTGACAGCATCACCACCATCATTATTGTCATTATTTGGAGTGTCCACATCTTATTACTTTATCGTAAATATGATGTGGAAGACAATTTTATACAATACATACATTTTTATTTACTTCTTAACCATCTGGGAGAATGACCAAATGACCAGGAAATTGACAGGAATATTGAAGCCACCGAGCACATGAAGTAATTGTTTTTTAACCTTACTTTTGTGGCTCAACAGTGTTTTCAGACATTTGTCTTCATTTTATGAAAGTGTCTTTTTTCTCCTGTTTTTCCATATTTATTAAAAATACTTATATAGCATATAGCAGTACAGTTGAAAATAGAAAAGAACACATTTTGGCAAAATTATGCATTTTGGCAAAAAAGCTGACATAATTATTTTAGTTATAGCATTATATCCATTTCAGTTCTATTCTCCTAGTTCTCTGAATCTCTACCATATTTAGAGCAATTTTGGAAGCCAGAGAGCTCTATGGAACTAATAGGAGCTTTTGTTTCATACAGGAAATGTTCTGAAATTGTAAGTATTTATTACTTTTGAAAGTGCTTATGTCAAATTGTTGTTAGTTTGAACTGTTAAGAAATATTTGCTCCAAGAAATTCTTGGCTATATGGAAATCTTATAAAAGCATATCATTTGTTCTATTGTTACTATTAACGTTTGTAAATATTATTTTTTCTTCTATAGGACAAGGTGCAACACTGGTTGATAGAGGAGATAATACATATGGAGGAAAGTGGGTTATAAATCCTAGTGGTGGACTGATTTCAAAGGGACACCCACTAGGAGCTACAGGTAATACTACATACAGATTTCATACATTTTTAAATCATTTTTTCCTTAAGTGTGAACGAATTAGTCTTTCATTTGAATGAAATATTATATTCTTTGAACTTGGTAGCTGGTGCTCTACATGATTGTTTAGCTGCAATATTTTTGATGTTCCATTAAGTAGAGCACACTTAAATAATCTTGATTAATTGATGAGAATTTGAATTAATTAAAACTAAATTCAAGATGTTTCCAAGTAGAGATCTTACTGGACTTGCTAAATAAGAATCATTTGAAATGAGCATGTTATTTATATGTAGTTGTATACTTGGTTGACATTGCATGGAAATTATTTTCTCTTGAGACAACGGGACTAGAATTTATAAAGTAAGAATTTTACTATGGCTCTGCTGTTGACTGGCTGACTGTGTGAAACTATTTTTATCAATCACTTTAACTTTTAATTCCTTAATTACAAAACGACAAACTTGTACAATGCAGTTTCTTTTTCTTTTTTTTTAATAAAAAGTTTTAAATAAAAAAGGGAACCTCACCGTGTAGTTCCTTTTTTCTTTCTTTCTTTTGTTTTTTTTTTTGAGATGGAGTCTCGCTTTGTTGCCCAGGCTGGAAAGAAGTGGCACAATTTCAGCTCACTGCAACCCCTGCCTCCTCCGTTCAAGCCATTCTCCTGCCTCAGCCTCCCGAGTAGCTGGGACTACAGGCTTGTGCCACCATGCCCAGCTAATTTTTGTATTTTCTTTTTAGTAGAGATGGGGTTTCACCATGTTGGCCAGGCTGGTCTTGAATTGCTGACCTCAAGCAATCTACCTGCTTCGGCCTCCCAGAGTGCTGGGATTACCAGCATGGGCCACACATGGCCACAACATGCATTTTTAGTATATCACTGTCTACCTTCAAATAGTGTGTTATGCCATTTTGTACATAATGTAAGACTTTTACAGCCGCCTATCTATTTACCTTCTCCTATCTTTTGTGTTATTGTTTCCATACACTTACTCTTAAGTATATTGTAACCCCCACAATATACTATTATTATTGTTGCTTTAAACAATCTAGTATCTTTCAAAGAAATCTAAAAATTACGGGGATGATCAGTGATGTTATGGGAAGTGGCAAAATAACAACATCCAAAAATCCTGTCCTTTATAAAAGTTTGGAGAACACTGGCAAAAATTGTCAAGATCAACTTTTTCTGTAACTTTAAAAATTAACCGGATTTACAACAATCTGTTGGGAGTGGAGGTGGGGGGTGCTTAAAACAACAACAAAGAGCATAATCTCTGTGAGAGCAACAAGCTGTGGCATTTTCACCTGCCTTAACACCTCCCCCTTTCTGCAGCTCCACGGTAGCCTTGAAAACCTACAGCTTGCAGTCATGGTGAAAATTAGCAGCCTAGCTGGCACTGAACAAGTCAGAACAGAGTTGGAGCTCTTTCAAAGCCCCTTCCTCAGAGAACTGTCATTATATGCCCTGTCTGGTGGTGTCCTGGTAAACCCCACTTGAAAGCTTTGTCTTTATTTCACCTCACTGAAAACTCACCCAGTGCAAAGAGTATTTTCCCTAGAGGCACTTGTCAAAAACAATCAACCACAACTGTTCAACAAAGTAGCTACCTCAGGTGCCAATTGGGGTAAACAACAAAATAACAAAAAACTTAAAAGGAAAAGTTGGGGAGTAAGATGTACATACCGGACTTTGAAAAGATCTGAAATATTCCTGGGAATCTAGAAGGCTAATGGCATATATAAGGTCAGAGTTGTGTACATGCTCAGGAAAGACCTGAGAAGGTCCTAAGCTCACCTCTGGCTAAACTTGGGGCTCTGCACAAGCAAAAGGCAAAGGCTAAGGTAGAATTGTAAAATGCCTGGCTGAGGACCACATCATGCAGCTAGAGGTCCAATAAAGACCAGGAGACTTTTTAGTTCAGTCATTTAAGGACATCTCTATCTAGTCAGTAGCTGAGGGAAGAGAAAATTCAGTGGCCATGTGGGACAAAGATTACAGACTTTATAGAATTAGCTTGGAAAAGTCACTAAATAACCACAACAATAAACAGCAACAACAAAAACAAACTGGGAAAGAGGAGGGTTTGATTGATTTTCAGAGGAGCTACATTATATTATTTAAAATGTCCAGTTTTCAACAAAAAAACATAAAGACATGCAGATAAACAATAAAGGGTGACCTATATACCTAGGAAAAAAAGCAGTCAATAGAAACTATCCCCAAGGAAGCCAAAACATTGGATTTACTAGACAAAGACTTTAGCTATTTTAAATATATTAAAGGAAACCATATATAAAGAACTAAAGGAAAGTAAGATAACAATGTTTCTCCAGATAGAGAATATTAATAAATAGAAATTATGAAAAAGACAACCAGGCACAGTGGGTCACACCTGTAATCCCAGCACTTTGAGAGGCAAAGGTGGGAGGATAGCTTGAACCCAGGAATTCAAAACTAGCCCAGGCAACATAGTGAGACTTCCCCTCTACTAAAAATAAAAAATTAGCTGAGTGTAGTGGCATGCATCTGTCATCCCAGCTACTTGGGAGACTGAGGCAGGAGGATCACTTGAGCCCAGGAGGTTAAAGCTGCAGTGAACTGTGATTGTGCCACTGCATTCCAGCATTCCAGCCTGGGGAACAGAGAAAAAAACAAAAACAAACAAACAAACAAAATCAAGCAAGGAAATTAAAGAACCAAATAGAAATCTGGAGTTGAAAAGAAATCTAGCACAAGACATCAAGGATAAAACCCTAAACGTTAGTAGACATCAAAGGGTATAGGTAGAGAAGAAGAACCATTTAAGAATAATGAGAGGGAATGCTCAGTTAGCCAAGGAAGGAGAGTGTTTCAAAAGTAAGAGATCAGGCCACAAAAGTTAGATAAAGAACGAAAAGTGTCCTTTGGATTTGGCTGTTACAAAGTCGTTGGCAATCCTGGAGCAATTTTGAACAAGTGTTTTGCATGGAAGCACATGAGATTCAGAAAGAATTATAAGTGAGAAAGTGGCAATAATAGTGCAGATACACTTTTAGAAATAGTGGCTATGAATGGAAAGTGATATATATGTAAGGGATGTACCTGAATTATAGGTACACGTTCTGTATGAATGAAGTCTTGGGTGTGAACCTAGCCTCTTCACTCTCTTTAGTATGTAGCTTAGCCAGTTAATCCTAGTTTCTTTTCTATAAAACGGGAATATAGTACCTACCTTATAAGGCTGTTCTGTGGATTAAATGAGGAAATATATGTATGTAAAGTATATGGTAGAGTCCCGCAAAAAGAGTAGGAACACAATAACTTCCAGAATTCTCTTCCCAACATTTCCACAAAAGGAAGCCATGATGGATCTACTTAACTAGTTCTTGTTTGTTTATTTGCCAGTAATAAACCTCTTGTTTTTATCACAGTATGAAGATATAATTTTTGACCATTTCTGGAAAAGAATGTTCTTTAATTTGTAAAGAAAATTTGTTTTCTAGTGTGACATCCTCAAGGTACCATATTTCTATGTAAATGTTGTGCCCAGTGCTACACAGACACTATTTAAAAACTATTTTCTGCCTTTGGTAAATAGACTAAACTGTTTTCTTTATTCCTCAAAAGAATTAGATCATACTTCCGTGTTGATTTTGTTGCTAATGGGACATGGAGACGTCCGGGTGATAATAAATATTCCTGTGGTATAATCACTGAAGCCTTTAAGAGTTATACTGAGTTTGTGTGTAAAGAAGTGACTTAAATCCTCCTTTCAGACAGCTTCCTTATTCATATAGGAAACCTCTGTTTCATTAGGAGATGAATATGATATTTCATTTTAGTTGTTCTTGTTGACATACAACTTTTTTCTCCTCTGAAATAGCACATTTTTATTATTATTTGCTTGATTGCCATTATTAGATATTTTTGTTCTGCCATCCACTGAAACACTCAGAAATCATGCCTTATAGTAACAATATAATTTTTCATATCTATATTTGTTATTAAAATTTAGATCTAATTTTTATACAATAAAATGCACAGTTCTGCTTCTCAGAACCTTCCTGCTGCCACGTTTGCACCTTGCTGCTCTAGCCTCTGGGGCGCGTTCCATCCTTTCAGCCTGCAGCCAGCAGAGAAAAAAAATTACATATATTCTTGCCCCGTGCATACCTAGAGGTGACCAAAAAAATTAAAATAAATTTTAACCATGAGGGAAATCATGCACATCCAGGCCGGTCAGTGTGGCAACCAGATGGGTGCCAAGTGCTGGGATGTGATCAATGATGAACGTGAAATCGACCCCACCAGCACCTAACATGGGGACAGCGACCTGCAGCTGGACTGCATCTCCATGTACTACAGTGAAGCCACAGATGGCAAATATGTTCCTTGTGCTCTCCTGGTGGATCTAGAACCTGGGACCATGGACTCTGCTAGCTCAGGCCCTTTTGGCCAGGTGCTTAAACCAGACAACTTTGTTTTTGGTCAGTCTGGGGCAAGCAACAACTGGGCCAAAGGCCACTACATAGAGGGGGCCGAGCTGGTTGATTCAGTCATAGATGTGGTGCAGGAGGACGCAGAGAGCTGTGACTGCCTGCAGGGCTTCCAGCTGACCCACTCAATGGGCTCTGGAATGTGTACTCTCCTTATCAGCAAGATCCGAGAAGAGTGCCCTGATTGCATCATAAACATCTTTAGTGTGGTGCCTCCACCCAAAGTATCTGACACCGTGGTCGAGCCCTACAACATCACCTCTCCATCCATCAGTCGGTAGAGAACACTGATGAGACCTACTGCATTGACAACGAGGCCCTCTATGACATCTGCTTCCGTACTTTGAAGCTGACCACACCAACCTATGGGCACCTGAACCACCTTGTCTCAGCCACCATAAGCATTGTTACCACCTGTCTCCACTTCCCTGGCCAGCTCAATGCTGACATCCGCAAGTTGGCAGTCAACCTGGTGCCCTTCCCACGTCTCCACTACTTCATGTCTGGCTTTGCCCTCTCAC